CCTAGATGTAGCTCCAGCCCAAAAACTGGCTCACCAGACGGACAGTCACAGAAGCCATTCACACATCCCAGCTTATCGTCGAACCATTGCCTGTATCGGTCGGCTGTATCCGCCCAATATCCCGGTCCTCCCGACACGGTCGACTTGCTTATTGTCCTAACATCCTCTATATCTCCATATCTTTCAATCTACAACCCACACCGGATGATTCCACTCATAACCCAACTTCGGTGCAGCAACATGAAACCGAGGCCATCCTGGCCAGCATGCTGCCTAAAGACCCCAACGAAAAACCCGTCTTGAACAGAGGAGATCACTTCAAGCTCCTATCAAGTTGTTATGCAGATGTTTCTCGGCACGATACGCTATGATGGATGCTAGCCAAGGCTGGTTTATGCGTTGGATATCTCAGGAATCCAACGTACTCGGTGCCGGATTAGATCCACGGAATAGACAGAGGTACGTATCGATGAATATAACCTATCAGAGTTGTTTGCTCATTTCCGTTACTTGCAGGTAGAGCGATTAGCACCATCCTTGCGTCGCAGCATCGGAAGGCGGCTTTGGAGGCGGACCGGAACAAGCACCTCATATCCTGCCTACGAACGCGCCGGCGTGCGCTCTTGCGCTCTTAGGAAGACCAGGTCATGGTGGAGGATGGGATGAGATCGACCGGTACGACTGTCAGAGCAAGATCGTGAGCTTATCCCGACGTCTATTCAGGAAACGAATGTACGACTTCTTCATGTCCCTCAAGCAACCCGATGGCTCCTTCCGCGTAGCTCGCGATGCGGAGGTCGATGTTAGGTGTGTTATTTGATGTTTACTGGTCCGCGACCGCGCTTATGCGTCTCAGAGGAACCTACTGTGCTCTCGTCGTCGCGACCCTCCTCAACATCCTGACACCTTCTCTAGTAGAGGGTATACCAGGCTTTATCCGCTCCTGCCAAACATACGAAGGAGGCTTCTCTAACTCAAGTCAACCGTATTACGGAGCCGATGGATCGCTGTTACCTTCTCCCAGGCCGCTTCTCGGCGAAGCTCATGGTGGCTATACGTTATGTGCTCTGGGGAGCTGGTTGCTCTTGAAGCCGCTCATGGCAGAGAATGAAGGGCCTAATGATGTGAAGGCGACTTTGAGGTGGTTAGCTAAGATGCAAGGTACGTTATTGGACTATTATCGAGCATGATCGACGAGCTGATCATGCAATGTGATAGGTGGTGGAATGGACCTCAGAGGCTTCAGAGGCCGAACCAATGAGTTAGTCGATGGATGCTATTCTTGGAGGTTGGTGGGTGCTTCGCTCTGTTGGATGGGTTGAGCGCGATGGAGGAGGGCGTAGATGCTGTTCCTATGGAAAGAGAAGCAACGGAGACCAGTGCGAACGATGGTGAATGGGATGACGTTGAAGGTATGTCTCGTACTCTGCTCAGAAGGAGAACGAAGCTAATGACGGTATAGACGATCTATATGACACGAGTATGTTGATCCTTGTGCTTATAGACCTCACCGTGTCTGATTGAACTATCTTCTCCAGAGGCACTACAGGAATATATTCTTCACGTTGTACAAGATCCTGACGGTGGGATGCGCGATAAGCCATACAAGTAAGCATTTACATTGCTAATTCTGTGATCATTCATCTTAACCCATCCTTCGACCCACCAGAAACCCCGACGCATACCACACACTATATATTCTCGCCGGTCTTTCATCCGCTCAGCATCGAGTACGCCCTGCACCATTAGACAAACAGTGGAAAGACCAGCCTGGTATGTTCGACTCTTTCACTGAGTTTCTCAAGTCCAGTTATTAATGATCTTACTGCTACCTGTTAGATGGCGTCCTCAATTTGGACGCTTCAGAATCGCCGGAACAACGCAATGGACGAAGAAAAGCAATATTCGAAGCTGCGTATCGGTGGAAAGAAAATGAGTTGAAGCGTCGGATTTTGGGAGGGATAGATAATCGAGTGGTAGGTCTTTTGTCTTATGCTTTTATTTCGCTTCCATTCTTCTGAATAATTGACTGACATACCTGCTCCATGACAGAACGCAACACATCCTTCGTTCAACTTGACGGGGTCACATAGTCGAGCTATGTTATGTCATTTCTATGGACAGGATTCCTGAGCATCGCGGCAGTAATCTTCTGTGGAAGAAATCGAGGAGTGGCAAGCGGCACGTGTACTATTATCATTCGGCTTCAACATCGACGTTTTTCAATTCGTTCAATTCGTGTCTATCATTTCATTTGTATTATTGCAGTATACTTGTCAATCTGAATCTATGGCGGCTATATGAAATTCGAGTTCTTGCTTCTTCATGCGGTTAAACATTTGCTCCTGGGCGCCGCAATTTTTAACCCCGAAATTTGCCACCACTACCACCTTCCTCCTCCACCTGCCAATATAAACCATGAAGCATCGAATCTTCAAATCTTCAGAGTTTTTTGGCATGATTTTGGGTACTGCTTCGACTGCAACCTTGGCCGAGTGTGCCAGAGTGTGCAAGCACTGGAAGGAACCCGCTTTAAACAAGCTATGGGAACAAATTTCTGACCTTCATGTTCTGTTTCGACTCCTCATGCCAATGAAATTGGCTCCCCGTTTGACCTTGGTTCGTAATTCATCTAAAGAAGTTATTGTACGCTCACCAACTACTTATCGTAGCTCGGTCAGGACGATACTAGTAATAGGAAAGCTTGGGGATTTGTACTAGCATCCGGATTGGACTGGCAATGCTTTGACTATCATGCATGCAGAGTAAAAGGGCTCAACTACAACGATTCGGAAAACGGGAACATCTGCACCGACGACACTGCCTGGACGCTCGTGGTGAAGACTCGCCGCCGGTTGGCCCTCCTTCCTAATCTGAGGGTACTCGTCTGGGATGCGCCTGCTTCGCGTATTAACTTTTATGAATGCACTGCTATTCATGGGACCTTCGCTTTCAAGTCTGGTATTACATCTCACTAACATACATTGGCCGGATGAATCATACCTTCAAGCGCAGACCTTTCTCTCGGAGTGCGCCGCCCATTCGCCTAATCTTACTTCACTCGAACTCCGTGCGAAGTTCTCAATTCCAGAATTAAAGACAGAGTTTATTTCGTTGTTCCAGGGAATGAAGAAATTACAGATTCTCATTGTCCCTCGTCACTGGATCACGGTTGAGTTATTGTCAGCTCTGGCTGGTCTTCCGAAGCTTCGCAAGGTTGAATGGACTAGCAAGGTTGAATGGACTAGCAAGGTTGAATGGACTACCGAAGCTAACACTCTGACGCTCCCAAAATCGACAGGAGAAAACGTGGATGTTCTACCTTTGAGCTTCGCATCCCTAGAAGAGCTCAGTATGGAGATGGAGATAAAAGATGCGTTGAAAGTCATCAACACTAGCATATCTCATAGTAGAGGCTTGCGGAAATTGCAGCTGACAATCTTAGACAATCCAGATTCCCTACAGCTGCTCTTAGAGAGCGTTCAAATCATCAAGTGATTATTGAACTCAATCTAGTATTCTCTTTTGGTCGAGCGGATCTAGTACTCGATGTCATGAAACCGGAATGGGCAATCACTCCAGCAATACTTCGGCCAATTCTCAACCTCCCGAATCTTTCGCAACTTGGTATTTGTCACAGAAATGATTGCGAATGGATTGCGAAATTGTTTCCCAGAGTTACCGTCTTGGAACTTAATCGGCACCCAATTGTTTTCCCTCGGGATAGGAATGATTGGCCAACCCTAACAATTGCTGCAATAATTCCATTCGCAAAATATTGTAGCCATTTGGAAGAACTTGGTCTATGCATTGATGGTGATGCTCCATGTCCAGATATTCTGAGGAATTTCCTGTCTTCCGCAATCTGTAATATCTGGACTTCGGTATCTCACCTCTATCCAAAAATATTTCGTGGATTAGTGTGTTTCTCAGTTGTTTCTTCAACATCCCAGACGCTGAGTCTACATTTGGGGGGGAATGTGTCTCGTGTCTCTTCTACTGTAATCCGCGGAACAAAGGCCTGGAAGCAATCAGAGGTATCGCGCGCGGGATTTCGCGTAGGGGTAGCGAATTGGCCCCTTGTTAACAATTACTTGTGCATCGGTCTACAGTCGTTCAGACGAGCGTAGTCAAAATAAGTTTTTAGAAGAAAGTATTATCCAGCTCATGGGAAGTTTTATGATCTGATGAATAAAGCAGGATTCTCGTTAAATAGTATGTAGTAAATTTCTGTTGAGAAAAATTGCTCCCGAAAAGAAAGAAAAAAAGAAAATTAATTTGAATAACTAACTAAGCGCAACGGGAACAAAAATGTGTGCCCACCGCGATTCGAACGCGGGTCTGTTCGGATTATGTCAAATGCCACAACGAACTGATCTAACCACTAATCTATGGGCACCATTAAGGAACAGAGATATGTATAGCTAGTCGTCGGAAATTTCCTTAAGGCAAACTTTAGTGGTATCCCATGACGCGCGAACGCGGAATTTTTCTTAATTTCAGTTCTATCGGCTCGGGGATCTAATTATAATTTGTCAGATTCTTTTTTTATATATTAACAGCTATAGAGTCTGCCGCATCTCAGCGAACAACCCTCCAGAATCCGGGCACCCTGTCCAATATGTATTTGCGTTAACTTAACGGCATGCGAGGTAAAGGGGTGGAAATATATTTGTGAGAATACTCAGCGCCATAACGTACAACATAACCCTTATATAATTTTTCCCTTGGATATTAGTAACATTAGTATCGAATTACTATGAACACGAGGTTGATTCTGAATAAGCATGGCACAACAGTGATACCTCAAACGTTAGCTTTGACAAACGCAGCTTATAGGCTTACATACTCAGTAGTCTATTCTGGCAAAAATTATTGGGACGGCGCAGGAGTATCCTATCATCGAAGGATGCTTTGAAGTGTCGATTTGATTCTGAATAAGTAACATAAATATCATAGGTACACTCCGGGGTGGAATCCAGTGAAGAGGTAACCTTATGAGCAACTTGGCGCAGTGGAAGCGCGCAGGGCTCATAACCCTGATGTCCCAGGATCGAAACCTGGAGTTGCTATTTTTATTGCATACGATGCTCTTTTGCTATTGAGAATGTATTCAAATCAATAATCCCAGACAAAATTCTGCCGCATATCGCATGTTCGGTCCAATCCCAGACTAAGTTATTTAGCAGACCGTACTACAAGGATTACGAATCTTGATTAGTCAAAGTACTTCTTCCAAAATTTCCATTGACCAGGTTTCTTGCTCTTCAAGTTAGGTAACTCGCTCAGTCTAGAGGTACTAGCATTCCTCCCATAATGGATAGCAATGTTGTCCGGCGTTTCTAACTGTCCGGCGTTAGCCACAGGAATCCGCACGACTGCCCACTGTTTCGACATGCCAAACCCAAAGGCAGCCTCATCATATAACAGATGATTCATACTACTGCCGTCGTAGATCCAGCCTCTTCGTAAATCCATTTTCCTGGCTTTACTAGTCTTGTACCACGTGAATTTGATATCTGAGCCTAGTTTTACGGTTTGTAGAGAGGGGTGTCCGCGAGAGCGTCGAATAGAGGCGAATTGAGCGGGGATATCTAGTTGGGAGGCAGGAACGGGGATCGATATTACAGAGAAGGTTTTTAAGGATTTGAATGGAGCGAGCATAGTGAGGCAATTGGAGATCATAGTCTGATTCATAAATCAGATAAGTAAGTAGATACGAGAATTCAATTAAATATGAACTTGCCTCGGAATCAAGTATGGTGATATCGGGAATCCAAGGGACGACAAGACTTTTCAAATGCGGTACATTAGCAGCGAGGGTTTCAAGACCTTCCGCCGATAATGGGCATCCAGAAATATCAAGGTTTTCTATATGAACCGCGGAAAGTTGAAATTGCGGCAAGGCAGCCTCGATATTCCGCCAGTGCGAACTTTGCACACGGACGCTTTTGAGGGGTCTTCCTGGTATAATTTGCATTAGATGCTGCATGTTTCCCGACGTTATGCATTCAAGATCTGGCAGGGCATCCGGAGGAAGATCCGATAATGCGAGGTCGGACGGGGAATCTGGCATGCTCAATTCGTTGATGAGAGGATTGACGATAAGAAGATCCCGGAGTCTATCGAAGCTTTCACCCGATGCCTGGGATTGGGAGCAGATGACGCTGAATGTCCGTAGGTGAGAGAAAGAGAAGGGTTGAAGAGAGGCGACCAGGTCGATGTCTACTGCAGCCCCTACGACGCGCGCGGAGAAGGTTGCAAGGATGTCTAGGAAATATAACCGGACGACTCTCCTCCATGAATCTGAGCGTTGACGTTCCATAAAGGCTTGAGGAACCGAGAAAGAGGTTATATCGTCGGGCCTCGTGATCACGAATTCGATTCCAAAGCAAGGAGAAGAAGGAGGGCTTGCCAGAGGGACATCCAGCACGCCTTTTCCAGGAGAGGTCATTTGGTGGGAATAAATGGTTCTCGAACATTCTATAAGGCCAAGTCCTTTCAGATTCCTGCATTCGATTATGAATTTCTGTAGATTATCAAAAGTGGAGCGCCATAGACTCAAGGTTTCCCGAGCTAAATTCAGTAACTCAATGATTGTGATATTAACGCGGTTGAAATTCGACTCCTACCTGAATCTCTCGGGGACGAACAAATATCCGTAGGAAGCTTAACCCAATTCCACAGCTCAATCTCCCAAACATAATTCACGAAATGACGCCGGCGAAAATATTCGATGCGTGTTGAAATATACGCAAGATGCTCCCGAAATGCCTCCGTACTCTCTCTACATCCGCTGAATTTGATTCTTCGAAAAAGGTAAGGATACACATAGTCCCGAATGTACCGATCTGTCCGCGAGAGGCTAAGCAAGTCTGTCTTGTGAGGGACAAGGTATTCAGCGACATAAGCCCAAATATCACCTGGTAGCGTGGTCATGGTGAAGGGAAAGACGAAGGGCGGCGCTGTCTCTTGTGTCCGGCCTGCTTATAACAGAGGCAGAAGCGCGTGAAAGTCTATATGCACGATGCTTCGTGACGGCCGTGCATCTGGTTCACCTGAGATGGGTAGGAGGGCTTCGATATTGGCTGAGTACCAATGGGTCAACTTTAGGCGACTGCTGGCAACCGTTCCCGCGACGGACTGAGATGGCATGGGTCCCTGAAACCTATCATTCTTGCTATAATGGGTGCTATAATAGGTTCGATCAGTGCCACGAAACAATTATGGAGTTTTGATGGATGTCAATAACTGAGTAAGTGTTGTTAATGAGATGGTCAGCGTCGTTGAGGTGAGATATAGTATTGATGTCTGTGAAAATAGGCGGAACAGCCTGCGTAAGCGAATACCTGCATGCCCCTTAAAATATCCTCTTATTCACCTCTTTAAGTAGAATCTAACTTTAGCAATGTAATTGCTCCATATCTAGTCTCAGCTAATATGGTTTGGTGAAATGGTGAGATCGGCATTCCCAAAAATTACTTATTAAGAATAGAGCATTCTGAGTCGTGTTATTATATTTCAGAATCCAGAAAGTAAGTCGAAAGTCGATTGATAGGTTGGAATGTCTGTAAGAGAGGTTCACGTCCTTGGGTCAAGGGCCCAAGGCGGTCGCGAAATTTCGGATCAAGACTTTTCGGTTCTGTACAGGGTCAACATAATTAGTCAAATTTCAGTGTATTCGTCTGACATATGAGTTTCTTGCCTTCCCATTGTACTTTCTCTGTACACCGTGCATGGCAGTTGCAATTCATAACGGAGTGGTGAAGAATTTTAGCCAAACTTAAGATGTTAGACATTATACGAATCGACTGAGTTGCAGGTGGACGAGAGGATGCAGTGAAGTAGGCGATACTCAGCGCTAAGCGCCATCCAAAAATGTTTTTTTTTTCATTGATGACTATCCATAAAGAGTAGAAATACAGGCAAGACAGAGAGACAGAGGCAAAGAGAGAGACCAGGGTAAATAATAAGCAAAAAAGATAAAGCGCGAGAGAATAAATGGATAAGTAAATGATTTAAAAACGCGAGAAAAATAGAAGGGTTAAGAAGAGAGACAGGCGATACGCGACGTAGTGGAGATACGTGCACAGAAAGACGGAAAGATGGGCAGAGAAATACAAGCAGAGAAATACAGAAAAACGGAAAGATTGGCAGAGAAATACAAGCGGAGAAATAAGAGAAATACAAGCAGGAAAATAAGAGAAATACAAGCAGAGAAATACATGTGAAGAAATACAAGTGATGCTACGGGGAGCGGTAGGTGGGAAAGCAAGAGAAGTGCGGCGCGGGAGACTAGCGGTCTCAGCGAACGGGTTCCTCGACAGCGGAGAGGAACATACCTAGCGAGGTTCAGCGGATGAATGGGATTACCGCGGAATCCCTCGCCTTTCCCCTTAAACCAGGCAGCAGGTAAACCCACAAGGCCGCGCACTCTGGTGGCTGCCCAATCGCACGCTCCCTGCACGACCTTGAACCCGGCTGCCGAAGGTGTGGAGGAGAAAGGGAAGACGCGGCGCGGGTCAATGCAATGACGTAATGGACGCCTCGACCGATTCGCCCTGACGAATTTAAACTTGAATTAATAAAGAAAATAAGCGCTTGATTTGAGAGACCGATCGCGAGGTTCATCCTCAAACCCGACGAAAATCATAACGACCAGCCTAAGAGGTACCCAAGCATTCCGCGTTATTGCAATCAAAGTTGAAAGCAAACCGCTGGTTTTTGATTCGACTCGGAGACAGAATAGATCGGTCTAGTATATACCCGAAAAAGAGCTGAACCTGCAGGACGAGGCGGCACAGGTTTGGCACAGTAACCCTTTTTATTGCAAAGTGATGTTTCGCATAACATGCAGATCCCCAAATCCATATGCTAGAAGTCGGTCGCTTGCAATGTCGTCAAGCTGCGTGAATTGCTCCACTCATGCTAAGTGAGTATTTTTTGCCGTTCAGAGGCGCCTATCCTTCGCCGTGGTTCAAAGGAGAACAAAAGCCAAAAATGCAAAATTAGCAACTGCGGCGAAGAAAAATAAAACAAGAGTAACACAGCACCAGGAGAGTTGTGGTCTCCGCCAAGTCACCGCCGAAGCCGAACCAAGCCGGGAAGGGAAGTGGCGCTGACATAATCCACAGCCTCATAACGACCTTACCTTGTAACTTTCCTGCTTTCTTTCTTCAACGAAAGCCCCACGAGCCCCATAATGTCGAATAGCACGGTAACATGTCCAGAAGAAAATTCGGACTTTGTCGATCAGTCTAGTTTCTGGGATTCGGTGCGTACTTACACTTGGCGAGCTCTGCACATACCCTTGTCCAGGTTCCGCTGCTCCAGGATTCAAGTCTTTTACTTACATATTCGGTTATTCTTTATGTTCGTAGAGTGGGATCCATTGGGACCAGCATCGTATCGGATGGGCTATCGCTGGCGGATGTGCAGCCCTTAGCGTATTGATTACACTATTTAGTGTCTGGACACATGCAAGGAATTATAGGAATAGGGCTGAGCAGAGGCAAATGTGCGTACACAAATGTCTTTCATTTATGCTCGCCATTAACTAGTTTATTGCAGTATACGAATTCTCTACATGCCAGCTGTACGTCAACTCCCACAAGTGGCGCTGACCTCCTCTTACCCCACTTTGCGTTGCTTCACGTCTTGTGTAGATCTACGGCATCATATCATTCCTCTCATACCGGTTCTTCCGCGATTATACATACTACTCCCTAGTCGAAGTTGGTACGTGCGGCATTTGCCATCCTCATATGAATTCGGCTAACTCTTCCTTTACCTTACAGTTTACGAGGTATATCCGTCCTGACATGTTCTCATCGCAATGGTCCTGATCATCTTCAATTGCCACTCTTTTGTCGTCCGGGTTATTAGGCTGTAACGATCAGCGCCTTCTTGTACGCCCTATTTGCGCTCCCAGCCCCGATATCGAGCTGACCCGGATCCAACCATGTAGACTTCTTCTCATCCAATATGTAGCTGCTACGGCATCCGGCAGCAAAGCTGAGAATGCGCTGTTAAGAAAGGACAAGCAACCTTTGCCATTCCCTGTGCGTACCAT